AGTCCCACCAGTACAAACATTTCCGACTTGGCTGCGCCAATGAGTACCTGCCATAATCTCCAGCCCCCTTGTCGGCGTGTCCAGAACTGCGGTACCGCCTCGCTATGCTCCATAATAACGCTAAAACATATGCATTTTTCTATGAGTTCCTCTCATGCGCGGCGGTGGCATAGCATTTGAGTGCATTGACCGGGCTCGAGCCGTCAATTCAAAAAGACTTTGCTTCTCGGTAGATGAGCAAGTTGATCAATGCAAGTGAACCCGAGGCCAACGCTGTCGACGATTTGATCTTTTCGCTACACTGATATGTGAACTTCCTGAGTGTACAATCTTTTGAGACGGAGGCTGTGCAGTGATGCCGCTGCAATATTCAAGGGTGCGAACCGCGATGTGGCCCCCGACCTGGCGGTCTGCATAGTGAATAGTGCCAACCGAGCTACCTTGAAGGTTGATCCTGTAAAGCCACGATGCAATAGCGGGAACAAAGTCTGCTCGATAAGCCTAGATTGCCCTTTGTTGCCGAATAGTACTCGGAAAGGGGGCGACGAATGTCTGTCGCTTGCGGTGCTGCTGAAACCTCGACGGACACCTCAACGCGCAGGATATCAGTACTGTGCTGACCAGCGAATAACATCAGACAGCCGGGACGATATGGCTTATATGACACAACGCTGTCTTATATGCCTCATTTCCCTTTATAACGGCCGAATCTTTTGTCTTGCCAATGTCAAGGTAACAACAGCTGGCGATTGCTGAAAGTGCAGCGGGTTCAGATCTAGAAGATGGTTGCAAAACCTGGCGCAGGGTAGGGGTTAGGCCAATGCACGTTGACACGCCTGATTACACTGTATACTGGCTTGACGGTGAAGTTTCAATGGCCAGAGCATCACCACAATGCCAATCAGAGTTACATTCACCATTTGCCAGTCGCCGGCACTACGACAGCGCTAACCTGGTGAAGCAATTCGCGATCGCCCGGAAAGCCATATCCGGTAGATCTAGACGCACGATGCAGTAAATGCAAGCCAGCCCCCCTCCCCTAAAAAAAGCAATGCATGACGCTGGGGACAAATAGAGCGCAACAGCTGATAGAGATCATGCTGTTTGCGGAGATTGACTCCGTACGCAAGTCAATTCTATGTGTCTAGAGAGGCAAGCAGTGGCAGGCGCAACGCAGCATTATCAGATTCGTAGCTTGGTCTTGGCCCTGCAAAAGGCCAAAGGCAAAGATTCCCCATACTCCAGACATTGCCATTCCAGAAGCGAGCTTAATGTCTTGGACGATGCAGACCCTCCAGAGCTCGTATAACGAAACGGCGAATCAGAGCTGAACGACCAGAAGCTTCCCCAGAGATCAAAGCTGGCTGTGAGGTTGGGATTTTTCTCAGAACGAAACCAAATCTTGATTTTGACACTTGCAATGCGCGTTTGAACCGAACTGACGAAAACTCATTTGGCAGGAGGTGGGCGCAACATTTACTACAGGCAAGGATACCACATCCTTGCTCCGGCCGCGGGGTGGCGGTTTCCACACAATGGTTCTGTCACATTTGGAAAAAGTGATATTGCCTCGTGTGTTCTCTCGTTGCTCACCACTGAGATGACGTTGAAAATACGGATGCTGCGGCGTCATCAGCAACCCAACGGGCGATTTCCTCCTCTTTGCGTATCTGTTTGGCGCCTGATCCTCAAGAAGAAAGTAAACGACGTCAGCGACTTCGCAATGACATCTACGTTGATGAATTAGAGCACATATCAGCCTCTATCAAGCACGCACGTACTGGGCGGCGCATTATTAAAGGGCTAACTAACATCTAGCAGATATCGCCGCCCCAGCTCATTGCAAGGCCGCGAGGTCTTGGTTTGCAAGCGTGGATGCGACTATGCATCGCAAGGCCGATATCTGCGCCCTTGCTCACATCATTTGGCTGGTTTTCAGCTGATAGCAAGAAGATGACCAGGTCTCAGGTCTGGCCTGCAGCTTGGCGTTACAATGAGCATATTGGCAACGGCCACGTCGCCAGTCTTCAGCACGACATGCATGCATGCATGCCAGGCGGGTGCCAAGCCGCGCCATGGTGCGTGCCCATTCATGGTAAAAGGTGCGAGACAAAAGAGCAGAGGGTTCGACAGTGCACGGAAGAAAAGAGGAAAGGAAGCGAGAGCACGTTTTACGTGCGGAAAGGCGTTGTGCAAGAGTCTCACTACGGAACACCGATTAACAAGTGTGCAAAGCTACGTGACTCGAGACCTATACCTCGCAGTCTACGAAGCGCACGCAAGGTGCCTGGTTGAAAAAGACGGATTGAGAGTCCCATATTACGGGATACTCCGTACATCGCCGAACGATCGTGCGGCAAGTCGTCGCATTGGCGGACCTCTCGATGAAGGCACATGACATTAGTCATATGTACGATATCAGACCAGGGCGTGGGGACTGGATATCGCTAATAAGCGCACTACTGACTGTTTCTTTCTCCTTCTGCCCCCGACCAATAAGACCGAACCATATCCCCAGATGGCTGGATGTATCGGTACGCCAGACCAACAAAGCAAACATCCCAGCCAGTCGCTTACGCCCAAGTTCCAACAGAGTCAAGCTGTATTGGTCTTCCCCTGACTCCTGCGCCTTGCATTTCTTCTCGCCCACACGCCGCATAATTTGAACGCCCGCATGCATCGTGGTCCACGGCTACCCCTCTTTCCACCCTGGTTGTCGAGGCGGGCGGCGAGCGAATACTGCACCGGTAGACTCACATCTGCAAGGGCAACGGACACGCCGACAGCACCATGCAAGAGATGAATCTCCGACCATCTTAAATAGAGACATGGTAAAAGCTAATTACTTGGCTTGTAAAGTGCTGCCACCCATGACCTTGATAAAGCACTGGCAACGGCACGAACCATGCTGAATATCCTGGTCGGCTCGAGGTGACAAGAGGTGACAAAGAGAGAACTTGCAGGTCATGTCGCAAGGCCTTGAAGAAAGTCCGTGCGGTACGGATACATGAGCTCAAGTGCAGATTCCATCAAGATGACAGCAACAGTTGGTTGGCCACACGATTATCGACGCAGGCTGGCCGGTTGCCAGGTTGGTCGACCCTGGCCGAGAAACAGCCCTGGCGGCGTAAATGGCCGGATGGCGGCCACCAAAAAAGCCACACAAACTTTTTGGGCATTGTTGTGAACCGGGGTGCAATACAATGGCGGCCGCAGCACCTCCTACTTCGTAGGCACTTGTCAATCTCGCAGTGATGCCTCTTTGTTCTCACACGCCCCTTCCGTTACGTTCATCCGAAGTTTCTGTAGATTGTTTTCCCCTTGGCTTGCCCTAATCTGCTTGGCAGACGCCTCCCCCCCTCCGCTGCTGCTTTGTTTGTGGCGTGGAAAGCCCTGTGGCGTCTCTTTTAAATTCCGACACAGATGTGTGTGGAATAAAAGGCCAGTTCGGCCCGGTCATTATTGGTTGGTCAATATTAGCTGCGTATCAGGAATGAATCAGAAAAGAACGATGCACATGTGGTGGCTGCAGTCACAGCAATCGCCACACCTCCCGGTATCGTCATCCAATCAAGCTGATACAGACGAAATAATGGATATCCATTATTTTGTACAACTTGGTTGCATCTATGGAGTCATGATCGTCTTGAGTTGTGCCACTGGGTGAATTTCCACCTGGTCCTGTGGTTGTGGCAGAATGCGCCTCGTTCGGCATGTCCGAGGGGCAGAACACTGTTCACTGAACAAACGGCATCATTCCCGGTCATCATTTCCCTGATTGTTGAGAAGTCACTCGAGTTTGTTGGCCATTGTCAACATGACAACGAGTAATCGTTCGTTTGACGGACACACCATGGCAAGCAAGGTTCCAGCCAGGTTGATCTGCGACTTATACCTCGAGAGCTCATTTGAGTAAGCAACTTTCATCATAATTCTGTAAAAGTTCTGATGTGTGCAAATTTTATGGTTCAATTTTCAATTTTATGGTTGATGAAGAAAGAGCTTTCATCTTCGTGAATATTTGATGCTCGTCATTCGGCTACACTTTCATAGTCCACGCAAGGCCCTACCCGTCGAAGTTTACATAATTGACACAAGTGAGATGTTGCATGAGACTGAATGGTGTGTCTTGAGTCATCAAACAATTTTCTCTTCTGCAGTTGCCTTGCTTCCATACCTTCATTCGTTTGCCCTTCTTTCAGCAACTCATAACAGTCGCTCTCCGCATAGGCGCTGATGGCGGTCCAAGTTTCATGTACCTATATACTATATGATCGAAGTCCTGCCGAGACGCTGCATTGGCATGTGAGATAGGTGGGCCACTCGGATGCACGCTGCAGAGCACTGGCCTGGCACTGCAATGCACCAACCGATACGATGTGCACCTCATGGCATCGGAAATCTTGATGTGAGGCTGCACGACATGTGGGTACGGGCTTTTCTTGCCAAACAAATGTTGCAAAATAAAGTAGTACCAGTAGTCGGCGTGGATTGGCTGCTGTGAGGCAGATAACAGAGGCATTCATACCGCTCCAGCTCCGATTTCCCACATTCAATAAGATGCCCCAGGTCTGCGTATGCAGACATCGTAAGCATAGAATGTGGTGAGACACAAGCATGAACCCACGTAGCACGTAAAGATGAGGGGCGAGGGGCTTCTGCCGCGACATGCGCACTGGCCAAGACTCAAAGGGCCCCGAGCATGCAATCACAATACAGCAGTGCCGTTTGCCTGCGAGAGGTCTGTTTCATCACAAGGTTGTTATAAGAGGCAAGATCTTTGGGAAGATCTTCCGAGACTAGGCGACATCGGCAACAACTGTCAAGCCGTGTTTCGTGGGGTAAAACGCGGCCAAGACACCAATGTCGTTTGTCAGCCGGCTTTCGGCGGGCACAGGCGGTGAGCCCGGAGTCGCATATGCATTATACCTGTACCGCGTACTGCACTGAGCTCAATGGGTGCGAGTAAAGGCACGAGGAACGTATGTGATGGGTCGCTTTCAAGGCTCGGCCTGTTTCGGCTTGCCGACTCTGCGTCTCTTGGTCCTCCTCTTCACCTGAGATTGACGTGGGATACCGTCCAGCTGTCCGACAGTATCAGGTAGTATTTGCTTGTTTCTGCGGTTTGCGGCGTCCTCGACCTCATCTTCAGGCTCGACACCCTCTGTGAACACCATATCGCCCCTCTTGCCCAGGACGTCGCGGCCAGCTTCCTCGAGCAGGATGCCAAACGCGAGCAGAGCTGTCTCATCCATGCTGGCCTCGTCGACGTTGTAGCTCTGCGCTGCAGGATTGCCCCGACGTCGCATGCGCCCGTAGAAAAGCCCCGAGTAGTCGTGGACGGCCTTGAGCAGATCGCTCTCCGGCAAAACGCCGCGGCCGCCACGCGGGAGGTCCCTCTCGTGCGCGTAGTACACATCGTGCTCAGCGTAGCGCGTGGGAGCGTCTTTGCGTCGAAAGAGCACCTCGTCTGGCCCATAATTTGTCTCGTGAAGAGAGTACTTGGTAGTAGGAGCAGGTTTGTCGTCGTCCTCGCCTTTGCTCAGGGCGCCTTTGAGGTGAGAGAGCCTGCCTGAGTAGCGTCAGCATCGACTTTCGCGGGCGGTAGTTTCTAGAATAAATTACCAGCAACTGCATCATAGACCGTGGCAACCCGACGCTTGCTGCGGTTTGCTTCGGCTTGGTGTAAGTCATCTAGTGCGTCGATGCCAGGCGATTGGGCAGACGAGTCGAAATCTGGAGTTTGCTGGCGACTCAGAGGCTCGTCCTCCGACGCCATAGCTATCACTCGCCTCGGGCTCAGCGACCTAGTGGACTTTGTAGAAAACGAGTAATGTTTGCGATTGAGTTCAAGGCATTTCACCTATCTTCTGTGCCGCGAGCGTCGATGCATGGTTGCTGTTGGAATCGGCAAGTTTTCAGTAAAGGAATTGCGGCGTTCCCTACTAATGACAGCCAGACCCACTGTATTCGGCGCTCTTTGGTCGCATCTTGGTAACTACATACCTACTAACGCTTGCTCTTCTCATCTCATCTCATTCCAATCTAGAAGAATCATCAAAAATTCGACAGCCATCGCTGTCGTACGAATCAGATGAATGCAGACTCGTCTCTTTGCGCGTGAGACTGGCGATCTCCTGCCGCAGGATTTCGCGCGCACGCTTGCCAGCGACCTTGTTCGCACCTTTGCGCCCGCGCCGCAGCACCGCTTCAATGGCGAAGTGATAACCTCGCAACGCCCTTCGAGCGGCAGATCCTCCTCCATTGTCGAGGAGAGGGCGCACAATATCCGTGCTCATGGTGCCGGTGTCAGTGCCCTTGATGTCGACAAGTTTGACGGGCGCCTCATGATATCTGGTGGTGCTGACGGCTCCCTCAAGATATGGGATTTGGAAAGCGCGCCAAGTCCTCATATGCTACACACTTTCAGGCCGACACTGACAATAGCACGCTCGACACAAGATGCGCGCAGCAGCGCAAACAGGGGCCACAGCCATGGCATCACTCATCTTGCATTCTATCCCTTCGACTCGGGAGCGTTCCTCTCTAGCTCATTCGACAAGACGTTGAAGCTGTGGTCAACGCCGCGCGCAGCCTTGTCGGCCGAGTTTCCTCTTAACGCCACGATATACTCACACGCAACAAGTCCTGTGGCAGACCATTTGCTCGTGGCATGCGCTACGCAGCACTCCAATGTACGACTGGTCGACCTCAAATCGGGTGCCGCGGTGCAAGCTCTCGTGGCACATGGAGGGCCGGTGCTCAGTACAGCTTGGAGTCCGCGACACGAGCATATCCTGGCTAGCGGCCATGCAGATGGCAAAGTACGTATTTGGGACATCCGGCGCGCAGGCGGCGTTGTCGCTCAGCTCGATCAGGAAGACTCGCTCGGCGTTGTGCATCGCTTTACTCTTGCAGCTGCGAATGGTGCCGACTGGAGCCGCCAACCCCATTTTCGGGCCTCGTCCCAAGCACACGATGAAGCAGTCAATGGAATCAAATGGACAGATGATGGAAGATACATTGTCACAGCGGGCCTAGACCGCAAGATTCGAGTCTGGGATGCTGATACTGGTGCAAATACACTTGCCAGCTTTGGGTCATTTATACAAAATCAGCACCCAAAAACTGCAAACATGCTCTTGTCGCCATCAGGACTCTGCAGCACTGAAGATTTCTTGGTCTGGGCCAATGATCAAGAGATGCTGGTGCTGAATATGCGTGACGGTACCGTTATAACGCGCCTACGTAGCCCCGGTGTGACAAATCCTGTTGGTCCGCGCAGCGCTGAAATTGGTCGAAACAGAATCACGACCATGGCTTGGAGGGGTGCTGGGGGAAGCGGCTGCCGCGCGCTTGGGCCTGTCATGGGTGGCGCGCAATCACTGGGGACGATTTACAGTGCTCACTTGGATGGGCATATACGTACATGGATGGTGACGATTCCCGGGCCTGACGATGTCGAAGATATTGAGGAACTTGATGAAGATGAACAGGTCCGCGCACAGAAGCGCAAGGCGGTGGATGACGCATACAGGAGCCTCATGGGGAAAAGCATCACATTCACATGACCCGGACTACGATACGTCGTTTTTTTGGAATAGAAATGTAGAAAGCAACTCGGTGTATATCCCAGACTCCATCTCGCTATGAAAAATCATGTGCGTTCTACATAAGACACACCCACCTAAGTCTTTGCAAAAGATTTTACAGGACCACAACAACAAAACTAAGCCAACCATCAAAATAGGCTGCTTCTCTCATGAGATCCGCCAGCGGGGCATTAAACGGCACCGCAACTCCGTGTAGAAGAACATTTGCCATGACGGGATCCCTGCTGCTCGGGAATAGCTTCGGCATCGTTTCCCTCAGCACCTGACCCAGAAGTCTCGGCCTTCGATCAGCACCGAGTGGCTGCACAAGAGACTGGATAATCTTGAAGGCGCCCGCCGCTGAGGCGTCGCCGCCGCCCTGTTGCTGATCCACTGTCGGCTCTCCGACGTCGCCGCCTGCGCTGCCTCCCGGCGCGAGGGGCAAGTAGATGCGCATGGGGACATGCTTGAGGGCCGTGGGGGCGTTGAGAAGGCGGTTATTGATGCGGGAAAAGGCGGCCAAGTCATTATCAATGACGGCGTGCCAGAGCTGTCTGGTGTCGTCCTTTGACAGTTTCATGATTTGGTTGGCGTTGCCGTTGCGGATAAAGTCTGCCTGTGTACACGTGAGTGAGTTGTTTTTTTTTAATTAAAATGATAAGCAAGCTGTGCCTTGTAAGCCCATCGAGAACCGAGGGGGCGACTACGCACCTCTTTTGCTGCGTTGAGAAACGTGTCGGAAATGTCCCAGCTCACGCCGTCATTGACAATCAGCCGCCACGGCAGCGACGGCTGGTACAGGTCGACCAGCAGTCCCACGGGGAGATTCCGCAGCACGACATCTTCGAAATGGAAGCTGGAGCAGGGCGTGTTGAAGAATGCGGACAGGCGCGGCAGCAGCAGCGCGAGATACGAAAAGCGCGGGATGCTGGTGATGAAGGGCGTGGTGGGCGCTAGTGGGTGGGTGATGAGCAGTGGTATCCGGGCATCCCATAGGGCCTGGGAGATGGGGGCAGACATTATGTGTCTTGCATTCTGCCTTGGAAGCGACGGCTATGCGACATGCAGCGAGTAAATTGCTTTCGGGGTAATCGACTTGTGTTGCTGATGAGTGAGCGAGCGAGTGAGTGAGTGAGCGCTTTGGCAGAGGTGAGTTGTGGCCTACCTATTGCGGGGCAGCCAAGTACAGGCACCAACGGAGGACTGAGCAGACATTGGGTGAAGGGTTGACAACAATTGCATCACTGCCCTAAATAGTCTCTTTTTTTATGAAATTCAACATGAAGCATTTCGGGAGGGGCCAGAAACGCCAAGACAGGTACCGAAGTGGTCTTTTGTTTGATTGGTATCCCAACGACTGGCCAAAACTGCAACAGTGGCATTATCAAAAGCAAGAAGAAAAGCAATGGAAGATTGCCTACATAGTAGTGAACGCCTAGAAAGGCCTTGGGTCTAATACTCAGGTTGCATCCTTCCGACTAAATTTTTGTAGGGTCAAAATGTTTTCAGCTTAGGTTACTCTTGAACTCCTTCATCATCGATGACTCGCTGCGATGGTTGTTACGTTGAGATCTAGTTTCTTGATTGTGTATTCATGGCCCGTGCTAAGGCAACAATATGATTTATCTTGCGATTTGACCCAACTGGACTTTCGTCGGTGGACATTGAGAAAAGCCGGAACGCGGCCGCCATGCAAGTCTTGGTCTGTGTCTGTATGTTGGAACTGTTTCTATGTCTTTGACATTGAAAAATGCTATTCTGCCACCTTATGCATATTGATATACCCATATAAGAGAAACAGCCGATACAGGGCAATATCAGCATGTACACTCAAACGACAAACTTGCTGTCTTAGAGATCGCGCTGCTAAGCTGTCATTCGCCAACTAAGAGGCCTAGAATAAGCTAATACATTGGACTTTTTTGCTGAAAATTATGCTCAATTCGTCCGTGTTCCTCATGAAATAGATTGGCGTCATCAGTCCCCCGGAATACCTCAAAACCAACCCCCCAAAGTCGTGATAACAGGTTCTGTCAGTACAATCAGGCTGCCCTGTCAATCTTGATCTGCGGATCACCCTGCGCAGACTGATCAGGTATAGTTAAAAGCAGAGATCACACTTCTTTAATAAAAGATTTTAGTCAAGTTTCAGGTTTGGTGAAATGATATCCCCCAGATTAATAGCGTTGTCTCTCTGCGGCATCTGGGGTGCGGGTGCGGTGCGGGTGCAGCGCCCTATGTCTCAGGGCCGGAGCCTGGTCAGATGAATCAACCCCGATTCTGCATCGTCCGTAGCGAGCTGAATAAATTTGGCATGCCGATCCTTTATATGATCCATCACTTTTCAACAACCCCCCCATTACCTTTTCGGCAGTCACCGAGATGCTATATAGACTGCAGGGATGTCCAGGCGCATGCGAGGTATAGGAGACGGCCTCTGTCTCGTCCTCCCATATATTTGCATGTTTGCGTCCCAAGGTGCTAGAAGAAAAAGCCGGTAATTAGCTTTTAGAGACATGAGAGACAAATCTCAATCGCAACAGCCAACCTACTTTAAGATCGACCGCTTTGAAACATGAATGTCGTCCATCGTGTGCTTGGAAAAACTGTATAAACTGTCTCAATTGTAATTGAAAAAAAGCTATAGATGTCTTACTCTGCTTCACAAAGCCAGCCACTCAAAGAACATCTGTATTGGTACGTACGGTACGTTATCGGGCTTTCAGGTAACGGCCTGTCTCTGCTGGCCCGACCCGAGACAACGGTACAATCTGCACGTTTCACTTGCCAGATTTACAGTGGCTGTGTACTCGGACAATCAATGGATGCTTCCAAAAAGACGGTCAGGCTTCCCGGAACCGGGCTGAAGGTTGGGAAAAGTCTTTGATCGGGGTAGCAGCTGGAACTTGCATCAAACACAGTACTGGTACTTTTGGAAAATTCATCTGCGGCAGTACAATCCTAGACTCAGCCGTTGACAGCCTACAGCGTGCCAGAGATGGCGGAAGTTTGCCAGATACCGCGAGACCTCCTTGGTACATCTGCCATGATCAGCTTCAGCGTTGCTTCCGAACAAGGGCGCAAACCAGGGCTGTTTTCCATCCTCCGTGAGGCAGCTAATTTGCATCATTCTTTTCCCCTCTCCTTTTTTCTTAGTGAGCGTAACGATGTAAGTGGCAGGCACTTTATGAATGATCATGATTAAGAGGTTCACTAAAACATTCTGTCTGTGCAATGTTCAACGGATTTACAGAACTAGCAGTATTCAATTCGCAGTACATAAGAGTTGTGAAGCTAAATTAAAAATAGATTCATAACAAATCATCGCTATTCATAATTGCGCGTCATTATAGACCGCTATGCGTTTCGCGGTTAGCAACGCTGTGGCGGCGTTCGCGGTCGTGCGAGGCATCATCGTGGTGGACGGTTGGTTCACCAATGTGTTTCTGCAAAACAGACGGGGGGACCTGCGCGGCGTCCGTAGGATCCTTCCCATAGCTACCGGTGCTTCAGAAAGCCGTCCAATGTCAGCAAGTTGTTCCTTTGATTCGTCCACATTACTGGCGTATTTAGGAGCGGGCGTACGTGTTGTTGCCGCCGACAGTCTTGCTGCCGTCGAGGTCGCTGTCGACGCGTGGGTCAAGCTTGTTCAATGCATCGGACTTGTGAGGCCCGGCCGTGTTGGGAGCAGGGCCGGGGGTGCCGTAGGCACCAGCACCGCCGACTGCGCCTGCGCCAGTGGTACCGTGTTGACCGGTAGTGCCGGTAGTGCCAGCAATACCAGAGGTGTTGTGATGGCCAGTGGTGCCGTGAGTA